GGGACCCTAAAGGGTAGGGTTTTTCAACCGTTTTGGTCATAAATAGGGTATCGATTTTAGCTGATTTTGGCCATTTTAGCCATAAATAGGGTACGATTTTTGCACTCTAGCCTTGATATGGGTATGTTTTTAAGAAGGAACCACTTTTTCATCATAGTCGAAAAGAGAATCAACAAAAGCCCTTCACAACTTATGTTTACGGTAATTTAACATTGGTCTGAACTAGTGAACTAATTATAACGCAGGTCTGAAACAGGGTTTTGATTTAAGGGTTAGGTCATAAATAGGGTTTCGAGCTTTTGGTCAGGTCATAAATAGGGTAAGGAATATCACAGAGTTTGGTCATAAATAGGGTAACGGTTTTGGTAAGCGGGCCGCACACCCCCACCCGATTTTTCTGGGAGAACCCCCCCGGGGTAAAAAGCTGCATAAAGATACATTATTTTGGGGGAAATTGAAACTAGGACAAAATAGCTTTCTTCATACTTTCTTACTGTACAAAACCGTAGTTTGAACAGCGACCATCTCTACGCGAGCGTATTGAAACTTATTTACTTAAAACACAATATAGAGTGCTTATCACAAGTCACTGTTTGTTTTAGTTCCAAACATAAAAGATGTTTGACACATTTTAGCCAAACAATGCTCCAACAAAGTACAAGTCCTATTTTTAACACCATTGCTATATTTTTCCCCTGACAGAGGAATCACCATAACGCTTTTAGTGACCGGTTTTTGGCGAAGCGTTTCGCCCCAACTAACTGAACGCCTGGAAGAGACTAATTTTATTCCAAGAGACTAATCTCGCTTATCAATAGTTTTTGTTTCCGACAGTTATTATTTTTTTTCTTAAGTTCTTATCTTTACGGAGTGTTTATGGGTTCTCAACATTTCCATGAAGGAGTTGTTCAGTCGTTGACTTGGTTTCAAGCCCTTTTGAGTTTCTGGTTGACTTCACTGTCTTCTTGACATTCTTGCGCAATTACTTCTCTTTTTATGTTTGTTGTAGTGTCACCTTCGTGTGATGCTAAGAACATTGTTTTGTGATATCAAACCTCTTCGTTCTTAACCGCCCTTGTCATTGGAATTCGGAGAAGTTTTGATGGCCAGTCTTACCGGTACGTAACCATAGCTTATAAATTTTAAATTGATATCTGACAAATGATTCCGAAGTCTTAAAAAAAAAAACACTGCCGGCCAATTTCAACTCGAGTAAGTGCGTGCGAGGAAGAGTTGGGGGCGTAAAGTGAATTGCTTTAACGAGGACTCGCTAAGATTAATAGGAATGGTAAAAAATGATCAGGCTTGGAAAGCAGTTTGCAGGCGATGGAGAACTGGCTAGTGAAAGCGATTTATGACTATTTGTCTATTTGTTTTGACGATAGAGTATGCGGTAGAGTAGGTCGACATCTTTTCGTTTTTAAACCAAGATGAAAAGAAATTTAAAGTTTAATGGCTTTAAATGACTCTCGGACATTGCACCCAAACGGAAACTTTTAGCAGTTTACAATCAACCATTCGCCATTCATCTTGAGTTTGTACGTATTAACTACCATCTCTTTCTAAAACGGAGTTAATGAAACACGCGACGCTGTTTAGTCGTTTCCTTTTTCATGGGACCATCAGTAAACATGGCGTCAGAAGCAATTTGCGTAATATGTTTTTGTCTGGAGTCTTGCTTGGTTGCTATTCCTTTGTTCAATTCCGCCGGGTGTTCTTTCATGTGCGAAGACAGTCACGTTAACCTTTTTTTTTTAATCAGTATGCAGATGAAACCACTCTGATTTTGGATGGCACTCAAACATCGCTTGAGCGCTCCTTTGCTATATTGGAAAAATTCGGTGAGGTTTCGGGCTTGTGAGTAAATTGTGAAAAAACTGAAGCTCTTTGGATCGGCTCCAAGAAAGGATCAAACCAGATTATATGTTCTAATGAAAACCTTAAATTGGCAGATGGCAAGGTTAAGGCCTTAGATGTCTGGTTCTGCACTGATTGTGAAGAAAGTAAGAAGAAGAATTACGAAGAGAAGGTTCACAAGGTAGAGGACATCTTAAATAATTAGAGAAACAAGAGATTAACTTTAATTGATAAATTCGCAGTTGTCAAGGTTCTAGCTGCATCACAATTTGTTTATGTTCTGTCATCAACAACGTCGCCGTGTCGGAAAGAAACAAACAATCTTCATTTTAAATTCCTTTGGGATAACAAGGACTCGACAAAATTAAGCCTGGACTGAAATGATAGCAGATTACCAAGATGGAGGACAAAAGATTCTAGACATAATAGAATTTAACAAAGCCTTGAAACTGATTTCATGGTCTGCAAATCGAAATGGAAGTACTTTTTCGATTTTCATTTATCTAAGGTAGGTGGGAAATTAGTTTTTCTCGGTAATTTGGCACCAAAAGATGTCAGGAAACTTTACATAAAAGATGATTTTATCCAAGAACTTATTGTACTGTGGACGGACGTAAATTATAGGGACTCCTTTGCCTCTCAAGCTAATTTCAGTGCTGGTCGTATTTGGAATAACTCGCTGATCAGAATCGCAGGCAAAACTATATTTTATGAACCCTGGGCTAATGCAGGGGTGATGAAAATTAACGATCTGATGTCGAGTGGTTAAAGAATAATATCTTACAGTTGTTTCAAAGATAAGTTTTGTTTTCCAGCTTCGTTCCTCGAATTTTGTGGAGTAATTTCGGCTATCAGGAGTGCTACGAGATCTCTGAAATTGACATTGCCAGATGAAAAAATTCTAGAAAATGTACTGCCTAAGTTGAACTAGTCCAACAAACCAAGACAAGCAGCTTGCAAAATCCTAATCACCAAAAACTGTACTCGCCCAGAAAAAATCCAAAAGAAATGGATTAGAGACTGTAAACTCGCCGATGAGGAAAATTTGGACTGGGAGTCAATTTATCTACTACCTAGGATAAGTACATTAGACACGAAATTAAGGAACTTCCAGTTCAGATTTCTCCACAGGAGAATAGCTACCAACTTTTTTTCTGTTTAAAATTAAACTTTCGGAATCAAATCTTTGTTGCCTTTGTCAAACAGCACAAGAAACGTTGCTTCACCTTTTCTGGGAATTCCTGATCACAGAGGTCTTTCAGACCGAAATGGTGTTCAACAATTTTTCGTCTCTGTTGATTTAATACCAGCGTCACAAGTTTTCACTTTATGCCAATGTTTAGGTCTTAAAGGTGAGAAAAGCGCCTTTTTATTCAACCATTATTTACTACTTGGTAGATTTTATATTTACTGTTGTAACTACAAAATGTTTGGCCATCCTCAATAGAATACATTAATCAGGTTAGATGCAATCAGGGCGGAAAAAGGCCGTGATACAATACACCTTATTCCAAAATGGCCGCTATTTTAGTGTTCTTCTGTTTACTCAGTTGCAAATTAGCCCTTGTTGCCTCGTTTAAGGGAAAATATTCTTTTGAATTTTGAGTTTAAGAACGTGGCAACAAGGCTAATTTGCAAGAAAACAAAAGAATACTTAAATGGCGGCCACTTTGGAATAAGGTGTATTTAAAAACAGAAAAATAGGTTTCAATTATTACAGGAACACAAAACGCATTTCAACAGAAGTGGCACAAAATACTCCAGCCATTATAACTCCCTGATCTCTCCTTTGAACTTTTGCTTAAACAGGCAATTTTATTGAATGATATTTAGGTTCTTCTTTTCATTCTAAACAGCTTTAATTTAGTATTTCACGGTCCTATATTTTTCGTTCATATTAACTTTCGTCAGTTGTTAGAATAGTGTATTAGTAGCAATAGAAGTATCGTATATGCTGTCCCTATTAGTAATATCGTTGTTATTTAGAATCAACCTCCTGTTAAAAAGGTTGTTACATTGTTTGTATTGTAACCAATGCTGGTATTGTAATTTGTAACTTGTAAGTAGTGATAGTAATGCAGCCTTAGCTTTTGTGAAATTGTATATAAGGTGTAGTATCGCAATTAAAGAAAAAACTTTTTTGTTTCTGATGTCGTTTTCTTTCTGTACACTAGAAAGGGTCATAATTGACAAAAAGAGCGTTTCGAGGTTTTTTCTTTTTAGGAATATTGTTCACCAAAAGCAAACCCCCTACTGAAACTTTTACGTGTCGCCCATGAATAGCACTCGTGGTAAACAATAATTCATGTTTCGGCTTATTTTCATGTCCTCAACAGCTTAGAGGATATCGCTTCGGACCGAACTGAGTGTCAGAAATTGAAGCTAGGCCAGATCAAACCATGATGACCACGCTGATGAAGTAACGATTGATGAATAAAGAAATACTGACCATCTGCCTAAGGACACCCACAAAAAGAACAAAACAAAACAAAATAGAAAGAAAAAAAGAATCGTTAGAATGACTAATTTTTGACTTAATTTTTACACATGTACGTGTACTCTTAATTTCGTTTTCAGGAGATATTTACTAAGATCTAGACCGTTTAGTGTCTAATTTTTCAATTTTCTGGATCCGCCCCTGAACTGGGGCGAAAGCCGACGTTCTCCACCTGTTGTCTGTTGATCACATTTGTAAAATGGCAGAACACTAAAAATTAAATCGTTTCCTCTGAAATCAATATTTAGATCGAGATAAATACCTTCCTTTCGATTCCTCGCTCATTAAAAACGTAGAGTAATAGCCAGGGAAGCCATTAAACAATTATTAAGACCTTTTTGCGATCCTGCTTTGTCTCCGATGTTTGACTCAATGGTTATTGAATGAGAGCAATGACTCCTTATTAGTAGTTTTAATTTTCTTTGGAACGCAAGTACAGAAGTAATAAAACATTGCTCTAGGACATCTTTGTTGGTCATAGATGGGCTTTATCATGTCAATGCTTATCGGAAACGACGAGTGAATACAGGAACCTCATGATCAGATTTGCGCCGATTGCCGCAGTTTAGGGCTTTTAACTGATAATTCATTTTCTTAGGAAAGTTGCTGCCGTCAATGTGCTGTGTGCATTAATTATTTTTCTTGTGATAAACATATAAGTAGGATTCACATTGAGCGAAATGACAGTAAAAGCGAGCTCTTGAGTGAGATAAAAGTAAATCAGAACGTTGGCAAGGAGATTATTACTGCGAAAGGTGAGCTTCTTTAAACCAATTGAGCCATTGTGGAGCATTTTTAATTTACAAATAAGATAAGAACTGGATACGGGCTTTAATAATATTTACCACTTAACTGCCTTTATTCAAACTCAGTACAAAGTGAACACTTAAACACGATATATCATTCACGCGAATTCCTATATTTAAAGCATTCGGCAAGTTACTTTCAGTGCAATTGTTTCGCTATCGTAGACATTCAATCTAAAACGAATGTTTACGCTTTATACTATCGTCAAACTATTCTTCCGCCGGGAGTTATAAAAACTATATATTTGTTCTGATATAGGTTTTCAATTACCCACCAAATTTGTTCTGATACATATCTGAACTCATTTATTTTCATTTGGATTTATTTTTAGATGAAATCGATGAAGCTCGTGGTAGTTATCATCTCAGTGGCTTGTCTAGTTATAGCGTTGTCTCCCCGCGCAAATGCCCAGTGTTCGGCAAAGTGCTCAGATGCTAAAAAGCAATGCGTTTACACCTGTACCGATCAGAAATGCGTTGATTTCTGTCACTATCAACACGCGAAATGTCAAAAGAGTTGCCTCTCAGCATCAGGAAGATTTCTTCGTCGGGATGGGGGCCTACTGGAAGCGGTAAAACGGTATAAGAGCAATTCTGATTAAATCCACAACCCATGGACAAACGATGCAAGATGCTTGTAAAACTGATAGATGCGGATTCTTAAAAACTGGGTTGAACTAAAACTATGAGTAAAAGAAATTAATTTCAACACTAAAAAAAGTAAAATGATGTACTTTTGCGTGACTCGCACAGTAAATATAATAAGTTTTAAATGTAACTTATAAAACAGTTGATTAAAACATTACAAACTATTATGAACCATCTTGTCACCAGTAAACTTACGCCACCCGCTGAAAATACATGTGCCCGCTAACAGATAGTAGCAAGAGATGATAGTAGTGCATGCTTTGGCGAAAGAGAGGTGAGGAAGACGACAGCTGGCCAATCGTTGGGACCGTTCATCACAGATTGCAGTAACGTTTCCCGGAGGGAGGCGGGGGCGGGGGGGTTACTCCCAGAAAAGTTGGATGGGGGTGTGTAGCTCACTTACCAATACCCTTACCTTGTTTATGACTAAAATCTGCGATTTTTGTTACCCTATTTATGACCTAGCCAAAAATTCGATACCCTATTTATGACCGTTGCGGCTGGCACAGTTGCCCTAAACATAAGTTATAAAGGGCTTTTGTTGACGGTCTTATTGATAATGATGAAAAAGTAGCTTCTTCTAAGAAACATACCCAATTC